CCATAGTGGAGAGTGGTTTGAAAAGTGAGCCTATGGAGTTTGATTCCATGATTCACATATAAGTCAAACCTGAATACTGAGATCAAAATTTGTTCATGAATGTTGTGCATAACACCATCCGAGTTTGTAGACTAATGATTTGTGGTTGTATGGATGTTCTAGGGTCGATAACGAAAAATGAAATTGATGTTTGCATTGTTGTGAGTTTTAGGTGATTTTTAATTAATCTATTTATTTTGTGTATATGCAATTTTTGAGACGTCTTTATGAATTGATCCAAGACTTTTTGTTAGTGTGTTCTTGTTATGTTTATGTTTTTGTTACTTTTGGAGTTTATGATAAGTTTAGTGTGGATGTTTGTGGGTATCATCGCTGGAAACCCTCATGAGACTACAACTCATCCAACTAGGGCCGTCTAGGGGTTTAAAGGCTTGTTGCATATACTAAATGCAATCGTGTCAATCTACGAAAGTGGTTTAGGATAGTTTAGATACAGGTTTTAATTGGTTGTTTTATTTTCAAGTTTAGAGACTTATTTTATCGCTTAGTTTGCTAGGGACTAGCAAAAAGCTGGTTGGGGGTTGTGATAAGAGCTTGAAAGTATACATTTTATTAGTGATTTAATTGGATTATTTGTGGAAAAATGTGTTTAATTGTTGGAATTTGAATTTATTATTTCATAAATACCTTTTATGGGATCACGGGTGTTTTTTGAGTATTTTCAGGTTCAAACTGATTTTTGAAGGAAAAAGAATGATGTCAATGGAATTCGTGACAAGTAGGAACAAACGGTGCAAGAATCGGAGTTGAAACGAGAAAGTTGTGACTCGTCGAAACTACAACGTAAAATCTGGAAATCCTTTAAGATGAGCATACTTTGATGTTTTGATCATAACTTGAGATGTGGTAATCAGAATTTGACGATTCTTGTGGCGTTGGAAAGCTTATTCAAAGAGCTACAAACTTTATGTTGATGACTTTACCAAATTATGAAGTTCACGGACTCTGCGGACAGAAAGAACTATCACCACAGCGATCATTTCTCATCGCCGCAGCGATGGGTCTCGGGCCTATTTGGGTTATTGCATTCTCCTAATCCGAATTTGAGTGGGTTAAGGATTTTAATTCTTTTCCTAGGTAACCTGAAAACCCTAGACTATAAAGAAGGATTTTTAATTAGTTTTAAGGGGGATTGAAGAAGGAAAAAGGATGGCCACTACTTTGGAGATCAGAATTCTTGCGATTCTCGTTCACAAATTAGAGAAGTGTTTCTATTTTCCGTTCTTGAACTCATGCTATTCTATATAATGGTAGTTTTGATTACTGTATTTATGAACTAATTCTCTTTCTAGGGCTAAAGATGTAGCCCAATTTATGAATATGTGTTGACTTTATTGTTGTTAATTCTTATTGAGCATTAATTCTAAGTTTTATTATTATGTGTAATGCTTTCAATTCTTAAGGATCCGAGAGTTGAATGATATCATGGGTTGGGTTGAGATCGAGAGATAAAACCTAATTTGTCTAAGGTAATAAAACCATAGATTGAGCGAACGCTAGAGATAGGTTACCGCGATCTGTGAGGCTCCGGGAAATTCCATAGATCTTAATGATCTCTTAGCTCCTAAATCCATTTTAGAGATAACTTGGGTTGTTGCTTAAGGGTTAATTTGCTAATTGCTCGAGAGAGAGTTAGTGGAATATTAGGGGATTTGGCTTTTAGAATAGGCTTAATTAGGTTAACAACAAATATCAATACATAGGATTAAATTGGTGCGAAATCTATGCCCTAGGTTTAGTCATATTGATTTTTACTTCAAAGTGTTTACAAGTTCTACTTTTATTCAGTACTTAATTTTTAGTTGTTAGTTTATTTACTTTTTCATTAAATTCATTCTTAAACTTCAGTTTAATCAAATAGCAATAGAATATAATAGTTTGGTACTTGGTAGGTAGTTCCCTTGGGATTCGACACTCGTTTACTCGAGTTTTACTACTTGCACGATTTCGTACACTTGCGAATAGCCTGTCACACTCTGTGCATACCCTTTGTATATATGATCTTGCAATCTTTTTGTGTGCATATCCTTTATATAGATGATCTTGCAATCTTTTTGTGATATCCATATTTGGAAGAAGCAACAAAAAATTCAATATATGTATATGCACATAATTATATTCATAATAAGTTACTTTTTATTTTTTGTTTGGGTAAACCCAATAATTTTATACAAGAATAAAAGAATTACAACCTAGGAAAGGGAACTCCCCTTTAGAACCAAAAACCTTAGGCATTCCAATGGCAAAACTACAAAAGCGAGGACAACCAAAGAAAGACATTCCTTGTACACAAGAGACCAAAGCAACCAAGGGCACCCAAACATCAACCCCTAAAAGGCCTTTACAAAAAGGATCAGCAAACCAAACCAAAAAAACAGGCCAAGCTTCAAAACTAGCAATCCACACTATACTAGCTAGAAGGAAATCTCGAAAACAAAAAACGCACAAACAACATGGACTACATAGGCTATTAGAGACACCCAAAGACTGCACATAGCACCAAAGGCATAGAACAATTGCAGCAACTTCAAAAACTGCACCACGCACAAGCTACACCAGCTGCAAAATCTCCTGGATAGAGCGAACAGAAACTGCAAAAACTGCTGCATCTTCGACCAAGCTATAACACTCCCTCGGAAACAACACAATTGGAGCATAATCCTGCAAATTACTGCATTGCCCGCCACAAATCCTGTAACTAACAACCAAAAGCTGCACAAATTGCAGAAAACTCCCATCAATAAACACACATTGGACAACCTATACAAACTACAACAACGTTCGAGAAATTCTACACACTACAAAAAGCATAAAACTAACTAACCTGGACAAACTACCCAGAATGCAGCAATCTCCTGGAACTTGCAAAAACTGCAAAAATGCAGATTCTACAGCAGCAACACAACTACCTGCCTAAAATAGTTATCAAAAGACAAGCAAATAATTCCATACTCCCAAAGTTAAAAAACAGAATAGAAAAGGCAAATGTTTGGCACAAAATACATACTCCCAAAATACATACGAGAACCAAACCAGTCAAACAGAATTAAACGCAACTATGAACTGAATCCAGCTTCTATTTGGGATTTATAAACCATTCTAAAGCTCTCCTACAATCCTATTAAATATTTAGGACTACAAAAATCCATAAACAAGCTAAAAAATTTCCACAATTGCTCACATACAACATCAACCACAAGCATTCAACCAACAATACCAAATCCATAGATGCTTCTTTAATGGCAGAGCTATGGGCCTTGAAATAGGCAGCTTCTAGAATCCTAATCAACAAGCAAATAACAAGCATCATCATTCAGAAAACTGGTGTGAATCATGCAAATAAACACGCATGTCTTCAATGAATCAATTTATTTAAAAATAAATAAATAGAATAAAACAGACCCTAACAGCTAATTGAAACAAAAAATCGAATTGAAACGATAAGAGTCTCACCTATGCCTTTGATTCTCAGCTGGCGAAATGTGGTAGTTTTTGGCGAGGCACGGAAACGACGGTTAGGGTTTGGTTCGTACTTTGTTGGCGTCTGGTCAGGCGTCGCAGCATTTGGTAAGGCGAGGAAATGACGATTCCAGTTGGTTTGGCGAGACGTGGCAGCTTCTGGCGAGGTGTGGAAACGATGGTTAGTCTCTGGTTTTTCGGCATCTGGTGAGGCATTGCAGCATCTGGCAAGGTGTGGTGGCGAGGCATGGAAAAGATGATTCGAGTTTGGTTTGTTGGTGTCGTAGCGTGTAATGAATTTGGGATGGGATCACTGAGAAATTTTTGAGAAATTGATTATGAGATAAGAGTTAGAGAATGAGGGGAAAAATTGTATATTGTTTGCATTAAGAGAATGAATTTGATTTACGGAGTTAGGGAAATGAAATTTGAAAAAAAAAAACAAATATATAGTTTTTAAGAAAACTGATGTGGCAATTAAGTGATGTGGCACAGTTAGTACTTAGATTAGTATAATTTGGTTAGTGCAGATAGAATTACTCAATAAATTTACACCCAAAATATAACTGTTGTTAGAGATTTTTAGGAAAACAAAAACTAGAATTCATTTATTTACCTACAAATTTTTCTTTTTATAAGCAAAATCTTCCCTGAAAATATTGAAATTATTGGGAAGGGGGGTTTGTGGGAAGTAGAAGGAATCAAAGTTTTGAAGAGGCAACTCTACCAAACAGTTGGCAAATGGAAAAACATAAAATCATGCATAACAAGGGGTTGCCATAAAGCCATAAAGATATATATAAAAATAAATAAAATAATAAAATAAAAATAAAAAAATAAAAAAAACTCATTAATAAGGCTCCAATAATAGATTTCAATTCTCTTACATAAATTTGAAATTATATTAGATTCTCCATTTATTACCATTCAATGTAGCACTTATTTTAAATATCTAATATAGTATGTATAATTTGTTCTTACAAATCAAATTCCTAAATTTAGACATTTTCATTAATTACAGGCTCATTTCATTAAGAAAATAACATTTTTTTTTTCAGGTTTCAAATCATTAATTTATTTCTTCTCTTATATATATATATATAATTACCGGATTTACTAAAAAAAAAAAAAAATTCACTTATCAATATTAATTTAATTATGCTCGAATTTTCATAACTAAATTTGAATTTCAAGAAAGAAAACGTCAATCACCAGTCAAATTTTTCACCCTTTCTCTTCCTTTTACCAATTATTAACGCTCAATCATTTACTCTTTCTTCTTCATTTCCTGTTCGTCTCAGACTCCAGTTACTCTTTACATCTTTCACCTTTCCTTTTCTCTTCCTTTTTCCATTTATTAACGCTCAATCATTCATTCTTTCTTCTTCATTTCCTGCTCTCCTCAGAAAGTTTCAGGTTAAAAAAAAATCATAATCCCACCAACTTTCTTTCTTCCTTTTTTGTAGTATCCCACCATCAACATGCCAACTAGAAGGAACAAGAGAGTCCAGAAATGCAAAGATGATCGATTCAGCAACTTACCAGATGAGATACTCCATCAAATCCTCTCTTTTAATGACACCAAAAACGCAGTTCAAACCTGTCTGCTCTCCAAGAGGTTTAAAAACCTCTGGAAAACTCTTCCTGACCTCAGTTTCGATAGCATGAATTTCAATAGAGTTTTCTGCTTCAAAAGATTTGTCCTCGACGTCTTAACTCATCGAGATCCGTCCGTTGACATCGGTAAATTCTCTCTCACTCGTCGCGACAGGATCGACAAGTCTTTCATGACCAAAGTCATAGACTACGTTGTTTCCCACAACGTTAAAGATCTGAGCCTTCCAGTCGACTGGGGAGAATTCCGTCTCCCACAAAGACTGATTGAGTGTGAGTCGATCAATAGCTTACTGATGGAAACTTTCCGTCCTGAAATCTTACCAGGTCACTGGTTTGGTTTTGTGGGGTTGCAGGATTTGCATTTGAGTAGAATGCAATTCCATTATGAAAGTCAGCAACCCTTTGATCCTTTCTCTAGTTGCCCTAATTTGAGGAGCCTTTATTTAGGTGATTGTTACCTGTCAGGATTTAGTGTTTTCAGAATCACTGGACCTCAGCTTATTAACTTCAGCCTCTCAAATTTTATAATAGCTAACCGAGGCAGGATTGAGCTTCTTGCACCAATGCTCACTTCCTTTAGTTTTGAAAACTCAATACCTCAGTGTTTCGCCTTGGTTGATCTTCCTGCTCTCAGTAATGTGAATGTTCAAGTGTTTTTACCCCAACAATTCTTCCGCTCAAACCCAACAAAGCAAAAAGCTGCAGATGCATTGACCAATATGTTCCGAGTGCTTCGTCATGCACGGTTTGTCACATTATCTTACGATACAATTGAGGTATGTTAATTATTTATATTTACTATATAAACAGATTTATTAGTTATCTCTTTCTTTCTGATCTCACAAAATTTGGATTCTAATGTGATTAATTAGATTCTCGCCAAGGCTCCTAACAGACTCCAACATCAACCTTCTCCCTTCATGGAACTGGAGAAAATGAAGTTGAAAATGCAACTTGAAGAGAACTCAATAGCGATTTCTCCCCATGTCACAGCATACTTACTCAGTGCTTCTGGATCTCATGCAACTTTAGAAGTCGAAGTGGAAAGGTATCATCACCATAACTATAATTTTAATAAATATGATAATAGATATTGTCAACTGTTTCCTTTAATGAATTACTATCTCATGTTTTAATAGAGTTTAATTTTCGATGTATTATTGTGCTGTAAACATAATATATTATCAATACTATATATCAAATATGGAATATATCTTCTGCATTCTATTTAACAGCACAACTGGTGTTGAATTTATATTAATCAGCTTTTCTTATTATGTTGCACACCTAATATGTTGTGCTGTTATTTTCCAAATTTAATACAAAAGTTTCGCCAATATGTGTTTTTAGATTCTTAATAGATATAGCTACTATATATATATATATTTCAACTGCCATAATTTTCAATGAAGATTGAAGAATATTAATTTATTAAATTAACAATAATTTTATGTCTGCTAGCTTTTGATTTATACTTAGCAATTACTTGATGTGTTGTCATTAAATCTTTATTATCGTTATATTTGATATGATATACTATTATGTTGTTTATTGTTTGTAATTTACATGGTGTTCATTTTATTATGATGATTAAAAGGGTGCCTTGGCAATAGTGATTGTAAATTGGTAAATAGTTAGAGTTGGCAATTTACGGAGTCAGGGTCAAGACCTTTTTCTCCAGCCCCGACCCGGTTGAGATACCATCATTTTCGACCATGGATCTAACCCTGGATTTTTGGGAATGATTATCCTTTGAAAGGGAATCGATATTCACCCCAGCTTAATCAATTATATCTATTGATATATTACAAATTTTTAATGGGGACGGATATAGAGTTAGGAGTCTCTGGAATTTTAACCTTTATCATCTGCCTCGGCCCTCACCCTATCCCTGGACTGCGGAGCATAATTTTTGTCTGCCATGCCTCAAACCTCGAAATTTTCTAGCGATTTCCTGCTCTTTGGGATCGAGTTTTTGCGAGTACTCGTCCTTAACAAAATTTTATGTCATCCCTAGAAATTGTGCTAATCTTAAAGATTTAGGGTAAAATACAATTCGATATTTTAAGGGCAGCATAAGGTTGTTCATGATTCAGTTCAGATATATAGTGTTAGTGTAGATAATTATGCGGAAGGCGGTTAGTCTTTTGCAATACCCATTTTTCTTGAATGTCTTCAAGTAAAAGGGTGATTGTTGGACTTATAAGCCAAAAATTTCTCCCTCAAGCACCAACATAGGATCAAAATCATACTAGTCTGATACCAAGTTTTAGAAAATGTACTAACCAGTTAGAGGTGATGAAGAAAATAAAGACTTAAAAGAATGAACAAACACAGACTCAATTTCTTTTGTGGTTGTTTTTATTGAATAAAGAACTACAAAAATAAATAGGTTACAATAGTGAAATAATTTTGGAAAGAAATTTCTATTATAAGGAAATAATAAAAGGAAATCAAATAAGATTTGACAATTAAATATCCAATCTTCTTGAAAAAAGGAAAAAATAGTTAAGAAAAAAAAATTCCGAAAATAACAAGATACAATAGCTGATACATAGGCTTTTAACTAGGAAACAAAACAACCAAACAAAACAAACAAGAGCAAGTATGCCGCGACATTGATTAATTGATGTCTTGGCATAGGAATCCAGTGTTGTAGACTCGTAGCTGATATGCCATGACGCTGATGCATGTCGTGGCATTGACTTATTTGTGTCGTGACGCAAGACTCCCTAGAAAGAAACGGCTTGCATTTCAACACTCCCTATCAAGCTGATGTGTAGATGTTGATCATACTAAGTTTTTCTACAAAGTCTTCAAAGTAGGCTCGAGTAAGAGCTTTTGTGAGAATATCTGCAGTTTAACTGATTGTCGGAGTATAACTAACCTTGAAAATTCTTTCTTCAATCTTTTCTTTGATGAAATGTCGATCTATCTCCACATGCTTAGTTCGATTATGATGAACCAGATTCTTGGCTATGTTGATGGCAGCTTGATTATCATAGTATAATTCCATATGACACGCCAAGATGACCTTTAATTCTGACGATAATCTTTGTAACCAAATTTCTTTACAAATTCTCTGTGTCATAGCTCAAAATTCCGCTTCTACGTTACTAGGGGCTACAACTGATTGCTTTTTGCTTCTCCAAGTCACCAAGTTTCCCTACACATAAGAACAATATCTAGAAATTGATCATTAATCGGTAACGGATCTTGCCCAATCTGCATATAAATAAACTTTGATATTTCTCTTAAAAGTTTTTGAGAAGAATAGACCCTTAGCTGGAGGCATCTTGAGATATTTCAAAAGTCTGTATATAGATTCATATGTCTTTCAGTCGGGCAATTCATGAATTGGTTGACGACATTGATGGAGAAACCGATGTCATGTCTAATGTATGAGAGATAGATGAATTTCCCCACAAGGCGTTGATACCATCCCTTGTCGACAGGAGCACTGCCATCATTAGCTTCAAGTTTGACTGTTGGATCCATGTAAACTTAACAGGTTTGCAACCAAGCATTCCTGTTTCACTTAACAAATCCAAGACATACTTACGTTGGGAGATGGAGATGTCTTTTCTTAACCGACCAATTTCCGTCCGAGGAAGTACTTGAGGTTCCCTAGGTCCTTGATCTCAAATTCCTTATCCAATAATTGATTAAGAAGTACGATTTCGTCCTCATGGTCACCTGTCAGAATGATGTTGTCCACATATACAATAATAATGGCCATCTTCCCTTTTGGGAAATGCTTCACAAATAGAGTATGGTCAGATTGACATTGAGAATATCCATACCCTTTTATTTCTTTAGTAAATCTCTCAAACCATACTCAGGAAGATTGCTTGAGTCCATATAAGGATTTTCGAAGTCTACAAACCTCGTTGGAGTTGGATAACCTCTCAAGCCTGGCAAGAATATCCATGTAGACTTCTTCCCTTAGATCACAATTGAGGAAGATATTCTTCACATTGAGTTGGTGCAAAGACCAATTAAGGTTAGCTACCAAGGATAAAAGTATACGAACAATGTTGAGCTTGACAACTAAAGCAAAAGTTTTATGATACCATAAAGAAAATAAAGACTTGAAGAATGAAGAAACATAAACTCAATTTCTTCTGTGATTGTTTTTATTGAATAAAGAAGACAAATAAGTAGGTTACAATGGTGAGACAATTTTGGAAAGGAATTTCTCTTATAAGGAAATTAAAAAAGGAAATCAAGAAGATTTGACAATTACGATTCCAATCTTCTTGTAAAAAAGAAAAAACAATTAACAAAAAAAAACTCTTAAAATAACAAGATACAATAGCAGATATATAGACTCTTAACAAAGAAACAAAACAACCAAACAAAACAGGTAAGAGCAAGTATGCCGGGACATTGATTTATTTATGCCGCGACATAGGAATCCACTGCTGCAGACTCGTAGGTGATATCTCGTGGCACTGGTTTCTTGATGCCGGGACGCCGATGCATGATGTGACATTGACTTAATTGTGCCGCTGCGCAAGACTCCCTAGAAAGAAACGACTTGCATTTCAACAAGTGACACAAATAAGCTTTGGTATTTAGAAAATGAACCTATAGTTGAAGAGATAAACTCGAATTAGCCACATTCCTTTATGCCTATTAGGGTTTTTGTGTCGAACAATTCAAATATCTTTTAGTGATTTGACTTAAGTTAGCTGCTTGAGTAACGTGCCACTTCCCAGTTCTGTATAAAATGTTTTTAAACTTCAACAGGTTAAATAATCAAAACCAGAGCCTTCATCGATGACAACGATATCTTCAAGTTAACTCAAATGCTTTAAAAGAGTTAATTTGATTTCGCCTGATCAAGTGATGAGTTGGTGATTCATTTAATAGTGTTTAAAGTGAAAATGTTGAAGATGTTCATTGTTAAGCTTATAGGAAGCAAAGTGAAGACAAAAGAGAGGTAATGGTAATGAAGGAAAAAAAGATGGTACTAATGGAGGAGGAAAAAACAATAACAATCAATAAACAAGATAGAGACATGATCTTCGTAGACACCGTGATGGTGAACATAACTTCGTGGAAGCCCATTTTCTCACTTATTTTGAGTATTACTTTTCCCATATAAAGTTGTATTATACCATAAACGTTAGTTACGTCTTAGTCTTTGTAAAACTCTTAAAGAAATATTAGAGATCCATTCATAAAGTTTCATAAAAATTCCTTTAAAAGTATTCTTGTCATTGATTTGATAATTTTTTGAATTCGAGAAGCCTCTCCGGGAACCAGAAGTTTCGCTTGTGGATTAGAACCTTTATTATTAAACGCATTTAGTGCCTACTAGGCCACACTAGAAAAAACCTTGAACTCGTATTTGAATTTCTCCAATTGTTTTTGTAGCCAATGACCTCAAGCATTACGTGTCCTAATAACTCTCACCAAGAATAATCTCTTTCTTCTTTCTGAATTGACAACTTCAAGAGAGAGAGTTACGTGTATTTAATTCCCAAAAATCCTAAAAATAAAAGAAGCTAAATATGATATATTTTTAGGTAAACCTCAACAATGCAAGAGAAATTTTATTAATAGAAAAAGAAGGATGACACCTAAAGTGGGGAACATACTGAGCCTTACCGTTGAGAAGACTAAGTACAATAATGAAACAAAACAATGCAAATGCATGAAGTACAATAATGAAAGCAAGAGCTGGACTATAGGTGTGGATAAAGAAAGAGAAAAACTAAGCATTAAGAGAAACAATAGCATGGAAAACCCCAAACATCATCCATTAAACCTTTTTTTTTTTTTTTTTTTTTTTTTTTTTTTTTTTTTTTNAAACCGAGTAGGTGCTTTGTGATCCCCACTCGGTAGTCACTAAGAACGGGTTGGTACTATGTGAATTCCACCCGATAGTCATGGAGAGTGAGATGGTGCTGTGTGAACGCCATCCGGCCGTACCTCCGGTAAGATGAGGTCATGGTATTTAGTAGAAACAGAAACAGAAACAGAATTAGAAAAAGGAAAGAATTAAGAGTTACATACGGGGACAGACAGTTAAAGGATTTTACTTACTGAGCATTATTTGTGCTCACCCCGTTATTTTCCTTTGTGGATGCAGGTTCTAGGTGTTGATGCGGTCGGAGGGGCGTCGGCAAGCGAGGAGCAATAGCTACACTGTTTCCCCTGTCTTGTCTTTTAAAATACATTTTGTAAACAGTACTCTTTATGTATGAAAGACACATGAATTGTAATGAAAAGAAAACTTTGGGCCCAATTTTCTATTGTTATCATGCATGCATTGTACTAGTTCCAGCAGTTGTTACACTATAGGAGCTTGTTTCAAGCCATACAAGGCTTTATGTAGCTTACAAACATGCTTTGGTAAATGTGGATCATCAAAACCTTTGGGTTGATTGACAGGCTACTCACAAGTGTACGAAATCATGCAAGTAATAAAGCTCGAGTAAACGAGTGTCGAATCCCAAGGGAACTATCTACCAAGTACCAAACTAATCTATTTTATTGCTATTTGATTAAACTGAATTTTAAGAATGAATTTCATGAAAAAGTAAACAAACTAAAAACTAAATAAACTCAAAATTTTATAAACACTTTGGTAGAGAAATCAATATGACTAAACCTAGGGCACATATTTCACACCAATTTAATCCTATGCATTGACAATTATTACTAACCCAATTAAGCTTATTCTAAAAGCCAAACTCCCTAATATTCCACTAACTTTCTCTCGAACAATTAGCGAATTAACCCTTAAGTAACAACCCAAAATATCTCTAAGTTGAATTTAGGAGTTAAGAGATCATTAAGTTCTATGGAATTTACCAGAGCCTCACAGATCGCGGTAACCTATCTCTAGCGTTCGCTCAATCTATGGTTTTATTACCTTGGATAAATTAGGTTTTATCTCTCAATCTCAACCCAACCCATGATATCATTCAACTCTCGGATCCTTGAGAATTGAAAGCATTATGCACAATAATAAAACTTAGAATTTAATGCTCAATAAGAATTAACAACAAATTAAATCAACACATATTCATAAATTGGGCTACATCTTTAGCCCTAGAAAAGAGATTTAGTTCATAATTACAGTAATGAAAACAACCATTATATTGAATAACATGAGTTCAAGAACGGAAAATAGAAACACTTCTCTAATTTGTGAACGAGAATCGCAAGAATTCTGATCTCCAAAGTAGTGGCCGTCCTTTCTCCTTCTTCAATCCCCCTTAAAACTAATTAAAAATCCTTATTTAAAGTCTAGGGTTTTCAGGTTACTTAGGAAAATAATTAAAATCCTTAACCCACTCAAATTCGGATTAGGAGAATGCAATAACCCAAACAGGCCCGAGACCCATCGCTGCGACGATCGTTCTTTCTGTCCCCAGAGTCCGTGAACTTCAGAATTTGGTAAAGTCATCAACATGAACTTTGTAGCTTTCCAACGCCACCAGAATCATCAAATTTCGATTACCACATCTCAAGTTATGATCAAAACATCGAAGCATGCTCATCTTAAAGGATTTCCAGATTTTACGTTGGAGTTTCGATGAGTCACAACTTTCTCGTTTCAACTCTGATTCTTGCACCGTTTGTTCCTACTTGTCACGAATTCCATCGACATCATTCTTTTTCCTTCAAATATTGGTTTGAACCTGAAAATACTCAAAATACACCTGTGATCCCGTAAAACATATTTATGAAATAATAAATTCAAATTCCAACAATTAAACACCTTTTTCCACAAATAATCCAATTGAATCACTAATAAAATGTATACTTTCAAGCTCTTATCATTGATACATGTAAACAGTCTCGGTTAGCTCACTATTAAGAAAGGCGTTGTTGATATCGATTTGCTGGATATCCCATTGATGATAAACTACCAAGGATAGCATGACCCTTATGGTGGCAGCTTTGATAACAACTGAAAAAGTCTCAAAATAATCCAAACCTGGTGTTTGTTGAAATCCCTTTGCAATAAGCCTTGCTTTATACCTTTGCAAAGATCCATCAGCGTTCAGTTTGGTCTTAAAAACCCATTTGCTATTTACTATATTCATTCTAGGCATACAAGGCACCATCTCCCAAGTCTGACTGTTCATAAGTGCATTATATTTTGTCAACATTGCATCTTTCCATTCTGGTGTATTTAAGGCTTCAGTTGCAGATTTAGGCTCAACTAGGATTGTCTGACTTGATAAATAGGCATAAGGATTGGATGAATTCAGGCTGCTTTTGGACCTGGTCACCATCGGATGAGTGTTCTGAGTATTCTGAGTTTGGAACTTAGGAAAACATAAATCAGCTTCCAACTGAAGTCCTGGATGCTCAGAAGAAGATCTGTACTCTGTAGGTGTTGTGCATCTGTCAGGCGGTTGATCAGCAGACTGATTTCTTTG